AGCTTCAGTAAATAAGGACAATGACCACAAAGGGGAGGAGAACTATCATAATCATCTCTATTATGTTTTTGTGCTTTTTTTTCTTTTTTTGTACCTAGATGTCATTTTTATTGGCTGTAGTATATGCATTAAAATGTGTGTGTGCTTGTCTGTGTGTGTAAGTGGTTTCAGTCTTCAGCCTAGGCAGCCAGTGTTTCTTCCTTATATGGTGCCCTGGAGGCAGCACACATGGCTGTTCTTGAGTCTAGGTTTTACAAGCTGCAGATACTGCTGTGTAACTCTTACAAAACCTCTCAGATGCCGACTTGTCAATAGGCTTTAGACACCCACACAATTTCTAGATTACCTGCACATAGTCTTCCTGTGTTCGTTTCCCTCCTGATCACGTGTACTCCTTTCCCAGGCAGGGCACCCATGCTACAGCAGTCCCTGGTCACAGCCACCGTGGGGAACTCAGCTCTAAGACACCACAGGTTTAGAATCATCGGAATCTGAGAACATGTGGGCTTGAGGATCAATCCACTAAAGATATTTGGAGAGACAGATAATATATAAGGCAATATATAAAAATACTGCAGTATTTTTTGTTTTTGAGACAGGGATTCTCTGTGTAGCCTGGCTGTCCTGGAATTCACTCTGTAGGCCAGGCTAGCCTTGAACTCACAGAGATCCACCTGCCTCTTTCTCCCAAGTGCTGGAATTAAAGGTGTGCACCAGCTGCAATATTTCATAGATAGATTCATTGGTGTAGTAAGTTCATAGCTGGTCCTCAAGGATCAATTAGCAATTTTCAGCTACAGACAGTCCTAAAAGTTAGTCCTATGGTTTATAGGACTACTGAGCTGGTTAGCTTAACCTCAGAAAGTTAAGATAAATAAAAAGATTTATTTATTTTGAATATAGTGTTATACCTGTATGTATACCTGCAGGCCAGAAGAGGGCACCAGATCTCATTATAGATGGCTGTGAGAGTTGAACTCGAGACCTCTGGAAGAGAGCAGCCAGTGCCGTTAACCCGAGCCATCTCTGCAGCCCAGTAGTTGATCTTTCATTCAGCTAATGCACAAGGTTCACAGAACTCTGAAGACAGTTTTCTGATGTGTTGGGGGTAGACTTTAGGGACAAGAATGGAATAGTATGATGAACACCCCTGACCCCAGCCCATCCCACTCTTGGAGAGGTGCTCATAAGTACCTGTCTGCTTTACCCTGGACCCCATAGAATACTTGATGGGCCTTTTTTAACAAAGGAAAGGCGTAATGTTTTAATAACCATGCTCTGTGGTTTTTGGCAGGCTCTTGGTCTCAGGAGAGATGACACATTTTCTGTGACAATGCTGGGTCACTGCATTGAAATGTACATTGGGGATTCTGAAGCTTATATCGGTAAGATTAAATCATTCTCCTGACAGTGTGTTCTCTGTTGGGTCTCTTGAAACCTCATTCAATGTTTGGGATTCAAGAAGCTTATTTAATTTGTCAGAATAGTGCAGTACGAGTTAGTGACTCATTTCAAGTTGAGTCCTTGCTGTACGTAGAACATGGTAGTACCAGAGTCAGGCTTACTCCATGGTGGAAGAGCAAATCACAGAGATGTTTCTCTATAGCAAATAAATGGCTCTGTCCCCCTTGTTTTATAATACACAGCATAACATAATAATCTGTATTTTAATGGATCTTTAAGATGCCTTTCATTTACGTAATAGTGGTTTTTAATACTTTGAAAGACTTTCATAATGATAAACAATAGGATAATTTTAAATAGAATTGCTATACTTGGCATTTCTTTAGGAACAAGTATTGTGAGATCAGGAGAGCTCATTGAGTTAAATGTTAGGGTCTGGTCCTGGGGGGTAGGTAAAGATTTCTTTAAGAGGCTGTAAAGAGGGAAACCACAGAGAGCGGGGGATGATAAGCTGAGCTTTAATACAATGAAGAACTGAACACCATTACAAGAATGAAATGCATGCTGCGACTCTCAACACAGCATATCAGGAAATTCATGTCTAGAATAAGACAAAAATACTCAAGAAAAAAACGCATTAAAGATGGATAAAGATGCTTTAGCTGGTAGTACATGTCTATAATCTTACCACTTGGATCACTGCAGCTTGAGTTATATATACAGTCTCAAATTTCACTCTGCACATGTGTGTATGTATGCGCACATGTTTATAGTCTCAAATTCCACTGTGTGCGTGTGTCCTGCCATGAGAAGGGGCAAACACTGGAAGAGTGGCATGTGGTTAGGAAACATATTGAAGACATTCAGCAACATCTCTCACCTGGGAATGGAGCTGGTATTGGCAGAAGAGGCCACCGTGCATTTTCCAAGCAGCTAGTGCGCCTAACAATTGAGCCATCTCAACAGCCCCAACTACTGTTGATGATGATGTGGGATACTGGACATGTCTGTGGTTTGGGTTATTTATGGTTGAGCTGGAAATGAGTGAAATCTAGAAAACTATCCCGTGTGTTACCAAAGTTACCAGTCAGGTATTCCTGAGTAACGGGCTACTCAAACTCGGTGGTTTAGTCAACAGAATGAATGGTTGAATTCTGTGGTCACTTGCATGCCCTTCTCCTGGGCCCTGTGGTTCATTCATGTGCCTGTGGTCAGCAGATGTATGACTGACTCTGTAATGGGCTCACCAGTAGGCAGAGGACCTCAGCTGAGAGCCAAGTCCTGAGATTTTCATCCAAGGCTACTAAATTGTATAGGTGCCCTCAGATCTAGACAAGGAATAAAACCTCAAGACCTTGAAAGTTGCACATCAAATTCATCATATTCTGTTTATCAAAACAAGTCACATAATTTAACGTCGTCACTGTTGGAGAAAAGCTTGGCTTAGGTCAAGGATACTGAGCTGTATACATTTATATATACACACACGCATGCACATACCCTGAAGACCCAAGGTGTTAAAAAGCTTACCACCAATAGTAGCATCCCCTGTGACTTTGGAGGCGTCTGAGCTCCAGCTTCTGTCAGACTTTCTGTTACTGTGTTGGAGTATCTTGAAAGAACAACTCGGAAAAGGTTTATTTTGATGCACAGTTTCAGGAACTCCAGTCTAAGGCATGAGGACAGAGGAGATTATTTCATGGCAGCCAGGAAGCCGAGGGAAAAAATGCTGTGTTTGCTGCCTTTTTGCTTTTTTCCCTTTTATCCCATCTGGGCCCCAAGCTTAGGGGTGTTACTGCTCACATTCAGGGCGTGTCCTACCCTCTTAAATTATTCCTTCCGAACCTGCCTCACAGATACACCTCAAGTGTGCTTTACACGTCGCTGAGGTAGTTCTCAGCACATTTAAGTTCCAAGGTATAATTTACTACTTACTGCTTTTATTTTTAGGACATGTATGTCATCCTCTGCCAAAGTACCCAGTCTTGAAAGCTATCTAGAATGAAATGTGTAATGCTGTCAGTTATGTCAGAAATCTATCTGATTGGCCCAAATATATATTAATCCTAATGTTTTATATGCTTTGATAGTTTGAAAATATGCTTTATTTCTGTGAGCAGTAGATTAGTGACTGCACCCAACATGGTGTAAGGAGGAATTGCTCAAGCTTTGAGAACAGTTAGCTGTGAAGCCATGAAGGAACCATGATGGCCTATGCTTTGGGAACTTCTCAGCATCTCCTTTGAGAATGGTGGAAGATAGAGAGCAAAGGAAAGAAGAAAATGGCATCCCCTTTTGACGTGTGTTCATGTTAAAGTGTAGTTGGACTTAAGTGGCAGTGGCAGTAGCATAACTATTAATGATGGAATTTTATGTTTTCTAATTATGGTGTTTCTTTTTAGGAGCAGACATTAAAGACAAATTAAAGTGTTATGACTTTGACGTGCATACAATGAAGACACTAAAGAACATAATCTCACCTCCATGGGATTTCAGGGACTTTGAAGCAGAAAAACCAAGCACAGAGGAAGCAGGGATTGCACCCTTGGAAAATGCCAATAAAACCCCAGAGTCCAGACCTTCCTTGGAAGAAACTTTTGAAATTGAAATGAATGAAAGTGACATGATGTTAGAGACATCTATGTCAGACCACAGCACTTAATTTGAGACATTGGTCCAGGACCCCTCCCCACCCCCACCCCCCGTGTGCTAGTATAGATCAGTATTTCCTTGCATCCTTGATAGTCTTCAGAATTTCCCGCTTCCTGGTGTGAAACCAGACTGCTTCTTATGTTGAGGACCAGTGGCCTGAATTGAGAGATGGGATAGCACACCTTGGCTGCAGACGTATTCTGGTCTTCTGAACCTACCAAGTAGTTATATGTAGTGGAATAAAGATGGAAAACTGCTCATTGTGTCTCTTTTTCAAAAAAGACAATAAAGACTTTGAAATAATTTTTGAGAAATGTTTCCAAGACAGTAGAGTGTATCAGTTACCTTTCTGTTGCTGTAATAGAATTCTATGTCACATTTCAAGAGTGTCAATATCAATACAGGACGTCACTGTGAAGCCTGGATACAGTTAAAGTGAATCTCGACATTTCTGAAATTGTCTCATTCTCTTAGGAGAAAAGGGCTATAACTAAAAGCTACAGGCAAAGGTGAATATGTAAAATCTGAGCACATAGGAAGACTGTGTAGCTTGTATGTCTGCAGGAAAAAAAGTTTTTAGTTTCGGTGCCATCCATGAGTGGGCCAGAAATTGCTCTGGGCTCCTGGAGCCCTCCCAGTCCCAGACTATCAAGGATGCCATCCACATCGCAGCTCAGCAGCCCACAGGATGTCCGGAGCGTGCATCTGTTTTCCGTGCACAGTGACAGTATTGATCTCCTGTCTTCGTTGCTGTAGCATGCTAAGGATTTTTTTTGGAAAAGGCTGGATTCAGTACACGCGTGAACTTGGGACACCTCCAGCATTCAGGGCTGTCCAAGATGCCCCTGACCGGCGCTGGGCAGCACTGGTACCGCCCCTTCCCCCGTCAGGGCCGGGGAGGGGACGCTGGACCATCGAATGCCAAGGGAGGGGCTGTCTAGTCCTCGCGAGGCTTCGTTGTCGCGGAGGAGGAGGCGGCGGCGGGCGGCCGGTGGGGATGCGCTCGGAAGAGGGGGCCGGAGGCCCGGGCGCCGCCCTGTCTGCGCGGGGCCCCAGCTGGAGGGAGAAACTGTCGGCCCCGGAGGCCCAATTCCGCCGCGAGTCGCCTCGGAGGGAGTCCGCGCTGGCCCCAGCCCCGTCCTTCAGTGAGAGCGGGGCGGGCAAGCCTCGCGAGGAAAAGAGGACGGCGCTGAGCAAGGTGGGCGTGGGGCCTCATAATCCTCCGTGGGGCGACTGGGCTTGCGCACTGGAGGCGTGGGGGGGGTCAGGCATTCTCGCGAGAAGACGCCTTGAAGCCCAGAGGGGCGGGGCCGGGGCCTCGGCGTTGCCGTGGTGATGCTAGTCGCCGCCGCCTCCTCTTGAGCAGGCGGGGGTTGGGGAGCTTGGGTGGCACCGGCTAGGCGCTCGAGGGTGGAAGAGCAGCGGTGGCTCCGGCTCGGCGGACGAGGGTCGGGGAGCAGCCGAGCTCACGGCCTGGGTGGGCGGAGCGGAGTGGGCGGCAGCACCTAAGTTGACTAGCCTTGCTCACCCCAGGTGGTCCTCCGGCGTCTGCCCCCTGGCCTCACCAAAGAGCAGCTGGAGGAGCAACTGCGCCCCCTGCCTGCGCACGACTACTTCGAGGTGGTAGCTGCGGACCTCAGGTGAGGGCTGCTGCGGGCCACAGGCAGGGCACAGGTGAAGGGTGGACTGAGGACCCTTCCAGATGTCAGGGCACGCCCACGTTATGATGGGCGAGTCGCCGCGGCCCTCTATCAGAACCTTGGTGGCCCGGTGGCACCGCGCTTTTGGCCCTTTGCGTTTCCAGGCCTTCCTCCACACGTAGCTTTTAATAAAGTGTATGATGAGATACAGCAGAGTGCATCCCTTACACACGTGACTCTGGAGTGTTTTCGCTAGTGAAGGACCAGTCCCTGAGTCCAGAGGAATAGAATCGCAGACCTCGCAATTGCCACCCTGCACCTGTCAGCACCGCCACCCTGTCAGGTGGTGCCTGAGGTGATGGGAGCAACACAGGGCTGGCCTGACCAGCAGATGTCAGCACCATTGGGATTCGTGATTTTTCACGATATTTACTTTTATGTTTTCATTTATGCAATATATAATTTCCTTCTGGATACCTATTTTTGTAAAAAAAAAAAAAAAAAGAAAGAAAGAAAAAGTCTTCAAATAAACATATAAGTAATTGTTAAACAGGTATCATTTGAAACCACAGGTGATTTTCAGATGGCTGAAGTTTAGAAAAACAGTTAAAACAGCAGGGGTACAATCCCAACCCCTCCTTGTACCTTGCACCCTCCTATGAACATTCTTCTCTGACCTGTAATAGTCTCTGTGAACTGGAACTGAAGAGTTCCTACCTGTGAGAAGAAGTGTGGCGGAGACAGGGAGAATGGTTTCATTTTCCTTAAATACCAACACACACCTGAAACTGGTCTACCCATCCAAAAAGAACCTCATAGTACAGCATCCTCACCATGATCGAGGCAGGACTAGTCTTGTTCTTGATGTCCCAATGACTAAAAATATCCGTGACCTTTGGGTGATTTCTGACTTTTAGTATTTGTTTGTTTTTTGAGACAGAGTGTTTCTGTGTAGCCCTGGCTGGACCTTGCTCTGTAGACCATGCTGACCTCAAACTCACAGAGATCCTCCTGCCTCTGCCTCTCTGTGCAGGGATTAAAGGTGTGCTCCACCACTGCCTGGCTGAAGTCTAGTATTTTAACCTTTGTTGTGTACTTTACGGACGCTCCTGAGCACTCAAGACTTCAGTTAATGGTTGGGGTTTTTTGGTTTTGTTTTAATTTTTTTCTAAAGAATATCCAGATTGTTGTAATTAGCTGAGAAGTGATCTTTGGCATAAAAAGTATGTGCTGTGTTACTAAAAGATGAGAAAGGCAGAACTGAGGGCACCCTGCAGTTTGACTAACACTGTCCTTCATGTCTCAGTCTCTATCCTCATCTCTACTCACGAGCGTACATTAACTTCCGGAACCCTGATGACATCCTTCTGTTCAGAGATCGCTTTGATGGATATATCTTCATTGGCAATAAAGGTTAGATCCTGTGTGTGTTTGTGTGCTCCTCTGTGTATACATTCGTGTGTGTACACTTGTCTGTGTATATGCTTCCTATGTGTATGTATACACTTCTATGTGTGTGTGTACACTCCTGTGTGTGTATATATTCCTCTATGTGTGTATGCACTCCTGTGTGTATACTCCTCTGTGTGTATGAGCACTCTACTGTGTGTGTGTACGCTCCTGTGTGTGGATACACTCCTCTGTGTGTTTGTACACTCCTGTGTGTATACTCCTCTGTATGTATGAACACTCTACTGTGTGTGTGTACGCTCCTGTGTGTGGATACACTCCTCTGTGTGTTTGTACACTCCTGTGTGTATACTCCTCTGTGTGTATGAACACTCTACTGTGTGTGTATACTCCTGTGTGTGGATACACTTCTCTGTGTGTTTGTATACTCCTGTGTGACTACTCCTCTGGGTGTGTGTATACGCTCCTATGTGTATACACTTCTGTGTCGTGTTGTAATTGTGGAGATCAGAGGGCAGCTTGTCAGAGTCAGTTCTCTCCTTTCACTGTATGGGTCCCAGGGATCTAACTTAGGTCATCAGGTTTAGCAGGAAGTACTATCACCCGCTAAGCCCTCTTGCCAGCTCCAGCCCCTTCTTGTTCTTGTCTTCTTTCTGCAAAGTTACTTACTGCACAACATGTATTCCAGTAGGTTCAAGTTACAGATTTAGAGTTGTGTTGTTGACTAGATTCTAAATGATACTGTTCAGTGGTTTACTTCTGAGGTAAAGTGTTCCTTGTGTTGGTTAAAGTCTGTTAACAGAGAACATTTCTTTATATGTTCACCTTGGTTTGAAACAAACCTTACGTAAACCATAGCACATTTCCTTGAAGTCTCCAGACCCTTTAGCCTGTGCCTCTTTTAAGTGGAGTGATTTCCTGGAGTCTGGATAACAGTGCAGTAGTTGAATTGACATCTTAACATTAATTCTTTTTTAAAATTTTATTTTTATTTATGTGTGTGTGCCTAAATGCATGTGTGTATACCATGTGTGTACAGGTATCCTCAGAAGCCGGAATTCCCTGGAATTGGAGTTGCAGGTGTTTGTGAATCACCTGATGCGAGGCGCTTGGAACAAAATCGAGGTCCTGTGCAAGAACAGAAATGCTCTTAACCACAGCCCGTAACATCTTAAAATGAAAATAGCTGATGTGGAGCTGGGGAGATGGCTCAGTGGGTAAGAGCACTGGCTGTTCTTCCAGAGGACCTGGGTTCAATTCCCAACACACACATGGCAGCTCACAACTGTCTGTAACTCCTGTTCTAGAGGATCCAACATGCTTGCACAGACATACACACAGGCATGTAAATGGAGACTGTGCTTTCGTTTCCTGGCCACCCAGACCCAAGTAATCACACAAAACTTATTAATTATAACACTGTTTGGCCAGTGGCTCAGGAATATTCTTAGCTAACTCTTACATCTTAAATTCACCCATTTCTATTTATATTTTACCATGAGGCTCACGGTTTGTTACCTCACATCTTGCATCTTGGACAGCTACATGGCATCTGGCTGACTCTGCCTTCTTTCTCCCAGCATTCAGTTTAGTTTTCCCACCTAGCTCTATTCTGCCCTGCCATAGGCCAAAGAAGCTTCTTTTAACCAATGGCAATAAAACATATTCATGGCATACAGAGGGGAATCCCACATCACAGGCAAAAACACTAATGCACATTTTAAAAAAAAAATAATCCTGCTTTAAAATAGTCAATTGTAACTAGACACAAAACCAAACAAAAACACTGACTGGAAGAGGATCCCTGTCTTGAAAAACCAAACCAACAACAACAAAACAAAACTAACTGATGATACTCCATAAATTACTTAGAAGTCATGTGGAGTAGCTGAGTTTCCTCCCTTTTCAAGTGAGCGGTGTGAGGCTGTAAATGGCCCCTTGGGGCCATGTCATGTAGTAAAGACTGGCTTCTTTGCCACCCGCTCTTTCCAAAGCAGTCACTTCTCATGCTTCATCCCCATGGAAGTTTGGTGATTGTTTTCCTCAGTGAGGACGGTACAGTTTCATAGTGATGTTTGGCACATGTCTCTATAAAAGGCCTGGAGTATCCCGCAGTGGTGGAGTTTGCTCCGTTCCAGAAGATTGCCAAGAAGAAGCTGAAGAAAAAGGACACCAAGACTGGAAGCATTGAAGATGGTGAGCCCTTCCTTTTCAAAGGCTGAATTCTAAGCCCACAGATTAAACGTGCTGCTCAAACATTGCCTGTCGTCGTTGGAAAGGGAGATGTAGCTGTTCACTCATTCGTTCTGTTTTAAATTTACAGACCCAGAATATAAACAGTTTCTGGAGACATACAGCTTGGAGGAAGAAAAAGCCGGTGCCAGTCCTGAGACGCTTCTGGGAGAGATAGAAGTGAAGACGAGAGAGCTCCTGGGTCCGTTCTGCTTGTTTCTTTACTGAGATTCTTACTAATGGAATATGTATTTAATTCTCCTTTTTTCCAGATGAGGGTAAAATTTCTTTTTGTTAGAGGCTTGATAGAAACAGTATTCTGTACTTTTGACCACAGAGTGCTAGGCCTCTGTCCCTGTCATCTCATATTGCCAGAGGTGCCTGTTGATGACACAAGTGCCAGGGACCCACTCGCTGTCCTCACGCGTGCGGCGCGTTCATCCCAGCCGTACTTCTGTACTTGCTGCTTCTCCTTGGAAGTCTGAGTCTTCACCATGCAATTGATAGCAGTTGCCAGTCTTTTCTTAGCTTTTAACCTTCCATGGAGTCTCATGCGCAAGCCTAACAAATACGGTGTGAACAGAACCCTGATGGACTGACACCAGCAGGAGTGCTGGTGTCGTTGAGTGAAACAGGGTCTTTGGAACGGATAGGCCTAGGATTAGCTCTGAGACATGGCCCTTCGCAGCCTCAGCAAACCCCATCACCTCCTTGAGCCTTGTAAAATTTTGTGATCCAGTAATTAGGGAAGGAAGTGTGTCATGTTACTAAACTTTATCTTGGCATCCATTGTTTTGTTAGTCTGATAGCCAAAGGATCTCTTTAAAATAAATTCATTTCTGCAGGATCGATTCCATCCCTGGCCACAGCAGCTGCCATAAGATGTGGGCATCTGACTATGTCCACTCCATTTAAGGCCGAGAACCATTTCATCTGTCAGGTCAGGGTATCAGAGGTCCCTGGTTTGAATTTAGGGACCCATGTCCAGGGGCCTTCTCAGACTTCTAATAGTTCCTGAACCTCACAGTTCTGGAAATGTCATGCCAGCTCTCAGGAGCGTCCAAGGATTCTTCCCAGCCCCATTCACTGTAAGATCTTAAAGAGCTAGCCGGGCGATGGTGGCGCACGCCTTTAATCCCAGCACTCGGGAGGCAGAGGCAGGCGGATCTCTGTGAGTTCGAGACCAGCCTGGTCTACAGAGCTAGTTCCAAGACAGGCTCCAAAGCCACAGAGAAACCCTGTCTTGAAAAACCAAAAAAAAAAAAAAAAAAAAAAAAGATCTTAAAGAGCTGTAGGCAGACCCAGATGATTCCTAGCTTCTCACCATGTCCTTACATTTGGAGGCCATGCAACACCTCCCTTTGGAGCTAGTCCCTAGGCCTGTAGCATGCTGGGGCACCTGTCATCCCAATCAGATATGAGGGCTGAGGAGCAGGAGAGGTGACGTCAAGGTAGAAGCTGGGTGTGTTCTTTAGACAGTGGAATGGCTGCTCTTCGGTCAGCAGGGCTGAATGGAATCATTTTCTAAACTTTAGAGTTAATTTCACATTATTCTGGTTTTACTGAGTATAAAGGAGATTGAATATCTGAAATGATAAGGACCAGAAATATTCTGTTTGGGGCTTTGGAATATTTGCATGTATGTAATAAAACATTGAGATGGAACACAAATCTAAAGATAAAATTTGTGGGGCTGGAGAGATGGCTCAGCGGTTAAGAGCATTGCCTGTTCTTCTAAAGGTCCTGAGTTCAATTCCCAGCATCCACATGGGGCTCACAACCGTCTGTGATGAGGTCTGGTGCCCTCTTCTGACCTGCAGGCATACACACAGACAGAATATACAAAACAAATAAATATCTTTTAAAAATCTTTTTTAAAAAAAGATACAATTTGTGTTTTCTATGTATTTTACACACAGCCCAAAGGCAGTTTTATAGGACACTTGTAATGCATCTCTGTCAGACCTGTCCCATAAAATCCCGTGTAGACTTTCCCACTGTGCCATTATGGCAGTGCTCAAACTGTGGTTAAAGGCATTTCAGATGTTGGATTTGGGGATTAGATTGGCATGTATTCAAGACCTTGTATTATTGGGACTGGAGAAATGGTTCTGTGGTTGAAGCACTTGTTGCTTCTGCAGAGGACCTGAGCAGTTCCCAGCAGCCACATGGCAGCCCGCTACCAGTACTAACTAGTTCTGCGGAATCTGACACCCTGTTTTGACCTCCGCAGGCACTGGACACGAACATGGTGCATAGACATACATGCAGACAAACATTCATACTGATAAAGTAAAACTAAATAAACCTTAAAGAAAAACACTAAAAAGTGGAAAAGCAAAAATTTCCAACAATTTGCATGACATCAAAGTAAATATGTAAATGCTATGGTTCATCAAAAGCCTGAAAAGATATTAGTACCATTTGAGAGGCTATCACATGCACACGAATGGGAGCAATATTCTCTGATGACTTTAGGAAAAAGAATTATGTGCCTTGTCTCCACCGTCACCTGTGTTCCTGCCACAGCCACTCGCCTGGAACCCTAAATCAGCCCTAATTAAACTCTCTGGGTCACAAGACAGCAACAGGGAAGGTAGACCATGGAAGTAGGAGGGGTAGCTGGAAAGAGAAAGGGGTCTGAGGGGCAGGAGAGGTCAGGGGTGGGTCATGGAGAGTGTAAATGTGATCAAAATTATAGGCATGTATGAAAATGTCATATTGACCCATTATCGTGTATAATTGATATATGCTAATAAAAAGCTTTAAAAAGGCGTGCCTACTGTATGCAAAATTATCAGTACCTCCAAAGTACTTGGATTTGCAATAATTGAATAAGAATGCCCCGGGTACAGGGCATACTCATGTAAATTTTAGAGATAATATTCTTCCCCTAATTTTTTTTTTTTTTTTTTTTTGGATTTTTCGAGACAGGGTTTCTCCATAGCTTTTGGTTCCTGTCCTGGAACTAGCTCTTGTAGACCAGGCTGGCCTCGAACTCACAGAGATCCGCCTGCCTCTGCCTCCCGAGTGCTGGGATTAAAGGCGTGCGCCACCAACGCCCGGCTCTTCCCCTAATTTTTAAAAAAAGATTTGTTTGTTTGTTTGTTTATCTATTTATTATGCACACAGTGTTCTATCTGCATGTTTGACCGCACACCAGAAAAGAGCAACATATCTTGTCATAGGTGGTTGTGAGCCCATGTGGTTGCTGGGAATTGAGCTCACGACCTCTGGAAGAGCAGCCAGTGCTCTTAACCTCTGACCCATCTCTCCAGCCCTCTTCCCCTAATTTTTTAAATATTAAATTGGAAACAAGTATTTAAAATAAATCTCATTTTATAAATGATATGTAATGCATTTCAATTTTTGTTTTTTAGCCAGAAGAACCACACCTCTTTTGGAATATATTAAAACTAGAAAACTAGAAAAGCAGGTAGGTGACGTTTTGCCTGGTGAATATCTATCCTGTGCCTGCTGTTTCTCTCCATACAATTTACGTCTGTATTTGGCTAAACCTTCAGAGAATTCGAGAAGAAAAACGTGAAGAGCGGAGGAGAAGGGAGCTGGAAAAGAAGCGTTTCCGGGAAGAAGAGAAAAGGAAAAGGAGGGAAGAGGAGAGATGGAGAAGGAAGGAGGCGGATAAGCAGAAGAGAACTGAGAAGGAGGTGAAGATTAAGGTAATTTGGAGGAAACATTTTTTCTTTTGCCCCAAATCATAAAACACTTTCAATTAATCCAGCCTTTCATTTATCAGGTCTTTATATCCATTCTACAACAGTGGCCTCAGACGCTCCCCCTCAGCTCAGGCGCCCTTATCAAACCTGGGTGTGCTGAGGAGGTGGAAGGCATGAGGCCCTGGCCCCCAGTGTGGAATGGGTCACAGCACCCAATGGATCCCTGCCTTAGGTTTTCCTGAGTAAAAACACATACCTGAGAACTACCTGCCTGGCTTCTCTGTGTCCCACCTCAGCACCTCAGAACTCAGACTCACATCTGAGACTTGGCACTAGGCAGCACCCATAGGTTTCACCCTTGTGTCCAGTTTTCCCCATGAATGGTGCACTCGTTCACATGGATTGAAGAGATTTCCCTCCTTGATATTGGTTAGAGTTGGAATCAGCCCTTTCTGGGACTTTTTTAAACTGAGATTTTGCCCGGCATGATTTTACCTTACTCCATGGAAGATTCAAGGAATCTTTCTGAGATTCTGAAGAACCATACAACATAAAGAAAGTATTTGCTGTCATTAAGTATTACTTTTAATAATAAGGAACATGTCTATGGTTAGCAAAGTCTGTACGTATGTACCACATAGTGCCTGAGAACTGTAGAAGCCAGAAGAGAACACAGAGTTCCCCCAGAGCTGGAGTCAGTGATGGTGGTGAGCCACCATGTGGGTGTTAGAACCTAATTCAGGTCCTCTTCGGGAGCAACACATGCTCTTAACCACTGAACCTTATCACCAGCTCCATGGTCTCTGTTGTTTTAAAATTGCATACTATTTTAGTAGCAGTGAAGTCAGGGAATCTGGCCAAAGCTGTAGGAGCAGAAGACTAATGAGCAGGGATAATCTTCCAAAAGCTACTCACAAGGGCTGGAGTTGTAAACTCAGTCAGTAGAGTACTTAACTAAAATGAGATAAGCTGTGGTTTTGAGTCCCAGTGCCACATAAGCTGAGTGTTTAGCATAAGCCTGTGTTGCCAGCAGTGAAGAAGAGACAGAGACAGGAAGCTCAACAATTCAAGGTTGGGCTGGATTAGATAGCAAGAACTTGTCTCAAGTAAACAAAGGCCAGGGCTGGAGAGATGCTCAGCGGTCAGTTAGGAGCACTGGAGAGATGCTCAGCGGTCAGTTAGGAGCATGGGGGAGATGCTCAGTGGTCAGTTAGGAGCATGGGGGAGATGCTCAGCGGTCAGTTAGGAGCACTGGGGAGATGCTCAGCAGTTAGGAGCACTGGAGAGATGCTCAGCGGTCAGTTAGGAGCATGGGGGAGATGCTCAGCGGTCAGTTAGGAGCACTGGGGAGATGCTCAGCAATTAGGAGCACTGGGGAGATGCTCAGCAGTCAGTTAGGAGCACTGGAGAGATGCTCAGCGGTCAGTTAGGAGCACTGGGGAGATGCTCAGCGGTCAGTTAGGAGCACTGGAGAGATGCTCAGCAATTAGGAGCACTAGGGAGATGCTCAGCAATTAGGAGCACTGGGGAGATGCTCAGTAGTTAGGAGCACTGGAGAGATGCTCAGTAGTTAGGAGCACTGGGGAGATGCTCAGTGGTCAGTTAGGAGCACTGGGGAGATGCTCAGCGGTCAGTTAGGAGCACGGGGGAAATGCTCAGCAGTCAGTTAGGAGCACTGGGGAGATGCTCAGCGGTCAGTTAGGAGCACTGGGGAGATGCTCAGCGGTCAGTTAGGAGCACTGGGGAGATGCTCAGCGGTCAGTTAGGAGCACTGGGGAGATGCTCAGCGGTCAGTTAGGAGCACTGGGGAGATGCCCAGCGGTCAGTTAGGAGCACTGGGGAGATGCTCAGCGGTCAGTTAGGAGCACTGGGGAGATGCTCAGCGGTCAGTTAGGAGCATTGGGGAGATGCTCAGCGGTCAGTTAGGAGCATTGGGGAGATGCTCAGCGGTCAGTTAGGAGCATTGGGGAGATGCTCAGCGGTCAGTTAGGAGCATTGGGAAGATGCTCTGTGGTTAGAAACACTAGAGAGATGCTCAGAGGGAAAACACGGTGCGGAGCACGAAAGAGCTCCCAAGGGAGCGTTCTGGTGACCTGTTTCTGAAATAGTGCCTCTGGCTGGAGGCCAAGGATTTAACACATGAGCTTTTGGGGGAAATTAAATCTCAAACTGTAACAATGACTTTTAGATAAACTTGTGTCATGACTTTATGTAAGGACGCTTTAATGTTGGCATAAGAAGAAAACCACCTAAGGTGTTTCTCAGCGTTTGGCTCTGTTAGCAGGGTATGTGTATACTATCATGAAAATCAAAATTGGATCATAGTACACAATTGTTTTATAGTATTCTTTTGTTAAATTGGATGGGATTATTTCTTTATAATGTATTAATTAATTTTCTTTTCCTTTTTTTTTTTTTTTTTTTTTTGGGTTTTTCGAGACAGGGTTTCTCTGTGGTTTTGGAGCCTGTCCTGGAACTAGCTCTTGTAGACCAGGGATTTAATTTTCATGTATTGGTGTGAAGATGTCATATCCCCTGGAACTGGAGTTAGAGACAGTTGTGAATTGCCATGTGGGTGCTGGGAATTGAACCCAGGTCCTCTGGTTGAACAGCCAGTGTTCTTAACCGCTGAATCATGTTCTCCATCCCAGATGTCATTATTCTAACAGTCCTTTGTCATCTTCATAATTGTAAGATTTCATTGATAGTGTCATATGTATTGAACCCAAAACAGCTGGGTGGGGGCTGTTTTAGGTTTTGATTTTTGGGCCTACAACCATTCCTCTATTTTTTAAACATTTGAGCTCAATATTAGTATATACTTTAACAATTTCTTTTATGATATAGCATTGAGTAATATTTTATTAACATTACGATTTCTCAGCTTCTCAAGAAGCTGGAAACAGGGGAAGAAGCAGCCACAGAGAAGCACAAAGAAAGAGGTGACTCAGTTGGTCCTGGAGACGAAAAGCAGGAAGCCTGGCCAGTGGAAAGCCTGCCAGAGATGCCTGGGGAGAGGTGAGCGTGCTCTTATTTCCATGCCCCCAGTGTGGAGTCCGTGGAAGCTGTGTACTCCTCACACTGCCATTGGCATCTGAGGGCTCTGCACGGATGTGCTAGCATGTTTGGTTCTGTTGACCATGCCCGGAGGGTAGTAAACATTGAGTCGGCAGTCTCAAGTAGCTCTTCAAACCAGGGACATTTCCTGTTACTTTCTTACCTGTTACTTCTGAGCATCTTTCTTCCTCCGTAACACTTCCTTCCTGGACGTAGTTCCCAGGATCTGCCTTTGGAGTTTTTCTTTCTCTGTGATTTATACCTGTTCGTTGCTATCCTTTGTGGTCTGGAATTTCCCACACATTTTTATTCCAGCTCCCCTCTGCTTTCTTAGGGCTAGTATTAAAGAGGTGCACCATCATGCCTGACTTTTTAAATGTATTTTTGATGCTGGACATTGAACCTACAATCACTGTATATGTTAAAAACAATACATCACCATTAAGCTCCATCTCTACCCGGAAGTGAAGATTTTTTACATCATCCCCTTCCTCCTTGATATTTATTCTGTATGATAATTCAGCATGGAAAAAAATTTAAGGACTTTCATTTTGGAATTTCTTTCAGGTTTTGACAGCTGTCTAATATCACGAGAATGAAGAAGAGAGACTCTCCGTGTGATTATGTGGCCACCCAGGCATTTGAAGCAAGAAGTCCGATTTTTCCTGTCACGGGTTCAAAGAATAATCAAAACTTTTTTTATATATAATTCTGTGTATTTTCCTTAAATATCAGAGGCAGACAGACAATAGATTGTGACCAGCCAGCACTTCCACCTGCTCCTTAACAAAAGGAATGACTCAAAACTCAGGATTTTAAAAGCTGTGTACCTCTGTGTGCTCACAAAGGTATTCTTTGTTTTTATTTTGTTGTTCTTGTTTTTCAAGACAGGGTTTCTCTGTGTAACAGCCCTGGCTGTCCTGGAACTAGTTCTTGTAGACCAGGCTGGTCTCAAACTCACAGAAATCCGCCTGCCTCTGCCTCCCTGTGCTGGGATTAAAGGTGTGCGCCACCACCGCCTCTGCCTCCCGAGCGCTGGATTAAAGGTGTGCGCCACCACCGCCTCTGCCTCCCGGGCGCTGGATTAAAGGTGTGTGCCACCACTGCCCAGCTCCCTGAAACATTCTTGACCGTGTAAATGAACTGGTGGTGTCTCGGGTTTGGAGCTCTACCGTCCTAAAAGTGGGTCTTTAAAAACATCACTGTTGCCCTGAAGTGCATTCCCGCTGGGCGCCTCTGTGCACATGATGCCTGTGTCACAGGGCCACACAGAAATAAAAAAGACAGGAGGGTGAGGAGGTGACTCTCAGCACAGTGGGTGTTCTGAATCCTAGCACCCATGTACAAGGTAGATGGGTATGGTGGCCTGAGCTAGATGACCAGTTGGTGGGGAGTGGGAGGGGGTGGGAGGTTGGAGATAGGCACTCCTCAAGCTGAAAGACACTTAAGGAAATGTTCAACATCCTTAGTCATCAGAGAAATGCAAATCAAAACAACTCTGGGATTCCATCTTACACCTGTAAGAATGGCCAAGATCAAAAACTGGTGACAACTTATACTGGAGAGGTTGTGAGGAAAAGGGAACACTTCTGCATTGCTGGTGGGAATGCAAGCTGGTACAGCCCCTTTGATGTCAATGTGGCAATTTCTCAGAAAATTAGGAAACAACCTTCCTCACGACCCAGTAATACCACTTTTGGGTATATATTCAAAGGATGCTCAATCGTGCCACAAGGACATGTGCTCAACATTGTTCATAGCAGCTTTGTTTGTCATAGCCAGAACCTGGAAACAACCTAAATGCCCCTTTATGGAAGAATGGATAAGGAAATGTGGTACATTTTTACACCATGGAGTACTACACAGCAGAAAAAAATAACAGCTTGAATTTTGCAGGAAAATGGATGGAGGTAGAAAACATCATTTTGAGTGAGGTAGGTAACCCAGACACAGAAAGACAATTATCACATGTACTTTCTCATAGGTATTTTTTTTTTTTTTTTTAGTTTTTCGAGACAGGATTTCTCTGTAGCTTTGGAGCCTGTCCTGTGTAGGGATAAGTCCCGCCCCTTGGGGGGTGTGTTCGCCTCGGGCTAATGTTTGCCTATAAATTTGGTGAGCATGCTCCCAGCTGTTGCTTCTGCTTTCCTGGTCTCCGCAGGAACAGTGGTTCTGTAAGTCTATTTCACCATTAAAGCTGTATATATATTTTTACAATCTGCATTCATTTACGCCGTGTTACATTTTGGCATCCAACGTGGGCTATTTTGCACCCAACTCAAGCAGGTAGCCCGCTAGCTAACTCAGCACCCTCTCGGGTGCTGTTTTTTAGTTCGTGACTCGGGCCCCAGTGCTGAGTCCGAGACACACTCGGCCACATAGGCCCATTCTGCCTGCCTTGGCTAAGTTTGCAGTGGAACCCCACTGCCTGAATTAGCAGAAGCTCAAGTAACTGTGGTTTTGCAACAAAAGCCGCCACAGTGGCAGATTTGGTTTGATACAAAGTGACTTGGCCAGGCAGTGGTGGCGGACGCCTTTGATGCCAGCACTTGGGAGGCAGAGGCAGGCGGATCTCTGTGAGTTTGAGGCCAGGCGGTGGTAGCGCACGCCTTTAATCCCAGCACTTGGGAGGCAGAGGCAGGCGGATCTCTGTGAGTTCGAGGCCAGCCAGGCGGTGGTGGTGCACGCCTTTAATCCCAGCACTTGGGAGGCAGAGGCAGGCGGATCTCTGTGAGTTCGAGGCTAGCCAGGCGGTGGTGGTGCACGCCTTTAATCCCAGCACACGGGTGGCAGAGACAGGCGGATCTCAGTGAGTTCGAGGCCAGCCTGGTTTAGTTCTAGGACAGGCTCCAAAAACACAGAGACCACCACTGGCAGGAACTGATCATTGCAGGTAAGAAATTTTTCTTTTATAAATAAAATGTCTGAACACGTTAGTATTCAAGAATTTAACAGTTTTTTTTAATTGTACCATGTGGGAGATTTTACAAGAGGTGTCTATCACCCCACATCTATGGATCCTTCTGTGATTCGTAGTTTTCATTGGCACTAAATGGTTTGATAATAGAAATATGATAAAGTCTTTACGAGACGAATCCAGGATTCTTAAGGCAGAGATTGAACGCTTAAAAACGATTGAGAATGACAACAATCTTCTCAAGAATCAGTTTGAAGTTCTCCAGGCTGATGTTAAGGAGAAATTCATTACTATGGAAGAGGGAACAGCTGATCTGGATCGTAAGCTTCAGTCCCTTTCTGTAGGAACTGAAACATTAGTGGCTGATATTAAGGAGAAATTCATTACTATGGAAGAGGGAACAGCTGATTTGGATCGTAAGCTTCAGTCCCTTTCTGTAGGAAATGAAACATTAACGGAGAGAATCAAAACTGCTGAATGTGACAATTGGATTTTGTCTAAAGCTTATGACAGATTGACGGAAAGATTGTCAATACAAGAAGGCACGGTTTATGCCATAAAAATTATGTCCAAAGATGAGATGTTATCTCTAACGGACAAACTTCTTACTTTAGAATCCTCAGTGAAGGCTTTGAAACATAATTCTGGACAGGAGATTCAGACATTGCAGAAGGCAATGGTGAATAGAATTGAAAAGATTGAGGAATTTCTAAATTCTGATGAAGAAGAGCAAAGGGTAGAAAGGCAAATTTTAACTACATCTGTGGGTAGATCTCTCCGGGACAGTTTCCACAAAGCCCTACCTACAGCTCTACCTGCCTTTCCAGTAATAACAACAGAGAAGGTGATTGGTTCCAAAAACCCTAGGGTCATCAAGGAGGATACATGGGAGCCTGTCCGTATGAATGATCTCAAGGAAATAAAACAGGCTGTCATGACTTTTGGGATGCAAGCCTCTTTTGTTAAAGAGATGCTAAGAACTTGGGCCACGACAAGCAGAGCAACCCCCTCGGACTGGGTCCAACTGAGCTCTGCGGTACTTGAGAGTGGACCGCAATTGAAATGGAAATGCTTATTCAGGAAAAAGGCTAGACTCTTTAGAACAGCAGGAAAAGGCGAAGGGAATTGACATTTCCCTAGATCAAATTCTAGGTGAAGGGCTCTTTTCCGACCCTCAGGAAGAAGCTAATTTGGATGAAAACACACTCTCCATGTGTACTACAGCAGCCTTAAGGGCTTGGGACAGGGTACAAGACCCAGGACAGAGAATGGAATCATTTGTCAGAGTTAAACAGGGTCAGAGAGAACCCTTTAGTGACTTTTTACAAAGATTAACTAAGGCTGTACAAATAGGGATATCTGACTCAGAAGCAAGACATATAATGATTGAGTCTTTGGCTTATGAAAATGCAAATGTGGAATACAAAAGGATTTGGGGCCCTTTAAAGCTCAGATCAGCGACCTTGGAAGAATGGGTCTTGCATACACTCAATGTTGATACATTTGATTATGGCACTGAAGCATGGGTAGAAAAAGCAATTTCCAATGGTAAAAGGAGACACCAGAATACCAAATGTTTTAATTGTGGCAAAATGGGTCATATGAAAAGGAATTGTAGACAACGGATTTGCAGAAATAATAATAATAATGCATCGTTCAGAAATAATAATAATAATAATAATAATGCATCTTCTAGAAATAACAGGAATAGGAGGACTCAGCCTTCAGGTTTATGTAGAAGATGTGGAAAAGGCAGACATTGGACGAATGAATGCAGGTCTACAAGAGATAGACAAGGCAACCTGATACAGCCGGGAAACGTGAGGGGGGGCCTCACAGGCCCCCATGGCAAACATGTTTCAGTCATTTTCAGTTTCTGCAGAGAACATGCCTTGTCAGGACAATTAGGAAGCCCCATGCCTACTGTTACAAGCAATAATGATCAGAAAGATAAGTTACGTGTGTTTTGGCAAACTTCTATAAATGATCAAAGACCTAAACTGAGAGTGTGTGTAAATGGCATTTTTATTACTGGCCTGCTGGACACAGGTGCTGATGTAAGTATCATTACCCCAGAATCTTGGCATCCGTATTGGCCTCTTCAGAATGTAAATGTTCAGCTCTTGGGAATTGGAACCCTATCTCGAGTAAGGCAGAGCACGAGATGGGTTGAATGTATAGGGCCAGATAGGAAAATTAAGGCCATATGTAGCCAATATCGCAATGAATTTATGGGGTCGTGACCTATTACAACAATGGAATACCGAAATTAACATTCCTGCTACTTCTAGAGCCTATATTTCTGAGAATAATATTAAAAGATATTACAAACAGAGAAAACCGGCCATTTGGGCTGTACAAGAACAAGCAATTGATGTCCCTTCAGAGATACCAACAGCCTTGCCTCTAAAATGGTTGACTGAGAAACCAATATGGACAAAGCAATGGCCTTTAGCTGAGGAAAAGTTACAGGCTTTAGAACAGCTGGTACAAGAACAATTAGATGCTGGACATATAGAAGAATCTACCAGCCCTTGGAATTCTCCTGTATTTGTGGTTAAGAAAAAATCAGGTAAATGGAGAATGGTGACAGATCTCAGGGCCATCAACAAGGTTATTCAACCTATGGGCCCTCTGCAATCTGAAATTCCTTTGCCCTCTTTATTACCAAAAGGATGGCCTCTCATAGTTATTGATTTAAAGGATTGTTTTTTCACTATACCTTTGCAAAAAGAAGATAGAGAAAAATTTGCCTTCACAGTGCCTACTTATAACAACTCTCAACCTTCGAG